GAGACGGGGGAAGTCCCAATAGGAAAAACCATAACAAGGATTTCAAGAAGTTTCATGCAAAATTAACTTCACAAAAATATACATATACATTTAAACAAAATATATATATGCAATTTTAACAAAATAACAATTAATAAAAGATTTGAAACAAAATCATTCAAGCCACTTAAGGCATGAAGAACCCTACATTGAAAAATAATTGTATCATTGGAACATCAAGCTCCCAAGTCCTCTACAACTCTCAGACCACACTGTCTGTGATTCTTCGCTCTCACTCTTAATTCTCTAAATCTATACTTTCTATCAATACCCCAAGTCAGTAGTGCAAAAACACACCAAATATATAATGCAATTCCACGGACACAAATCACACAATAGCCCACTTCTCTTTCTTATCCTTATCTTCATACAACACTTATAACAAACACACCTCAGCCGTGCAAAGCAAAGCCTAAAGAATAAATTAAACCAAAAGTCTTCCAAGTGGGTCCCACGAATCATTTCAACTTTACCATTCACCACATTTTTTCTTCTTTTCGGCTGACATCCTCCAACACACAAAAAACATATATATCATACACATGCAATAAAAATCCAAATATCAAACCCATAACATCTTGTGGAGAAATTGAAGAGTGGAGAGAAACAAGGAGGAATTGAAGAAGGGTGGGAAAGAAACAAATGACAGGGCACCAGAGGAAAATGGAAAATTTTATTTTTTATATTTGTCTATTTTCTTTCAAAACTTTTTCTGCACGAAACACACGAAAATAATATTTTCACGTGAAATGAGTGTCTTTTTATTTAACATTCTTATTTTACCCATTAACTTAATCGTAGAAAACTTCTTCTTTATTTTTTTACTGGGTTTCAAAGAGACAAATTCTCTGCAAAACAACTATTTGTTTATATTTCCACAAATTCATATACAATTAGTAAGAACAAAATACAATCAAATATCTCTCAGAAATTAGTATTGTCATCAATTTCTTCATCTCGATCGTTGTTGTTGTTTTTATTTATTTATTTATTTTTTTATTTCACTTCTCTTAAACTAATAATTAGTTATACTTTATCTCAAAAAATATTATGAAGTCTTATTTTAAATATAAATAAAATATAAACAGTTATATTATTGAATTTAATAATCTATCATTTTACAATTTCTTTGCTAAAATAGACATCATCAAATACAAATTCATTTATTTATTAGTATTTGAAATCATATAAGTAATTTTGGTATATTCAGTCACTTTCTTTTCGCTTTCATTTTATCCAAAATAACAAACTAACATTTTCCTACAATCTTCTTGAATAAATTTTCTTGCTAACTAAATGCAAGCTAAAAAATAATTTTCTTTTCATTCACTTTACTTATCTTTCATTTTTCATTTAATTTCTTTTCTTGTTTATTTTCATCTTACCAAACGGAGCCTATGGGGAAAATTTTAAGAAAAATTCACAACATGCGAGACTTCTACTTTCGTAAAAGTTTTCACTTTTCATTTAAACAAATGCATAATTTTTTTTTTTTTTTAATTTGTTCATTTTCTTTTCCTTTTTAGCCGGTTCTTGCTAAGCAAACCGATCCTAAGGTTTTGATGCTCCCATATCTAGACAACATATCATATCTCACAGGGAGCTGTACGTCATGAATCCCACCCTAGAGTCTCTCTCTCTACTCCCTATTCTCTGTTGCAAGCTTGTGTTTTCCCAGCTAATTTGATTAGTTTGGACGCTAACCATTAATTGAAGTAAAGTGAATTAGGCCCAAGGCAAGTGCCCTATCCACTATATACTTCAATGTATAATATAAGATAATATAATATATTACAGATTAAAAGTTAAAACCATAGCTGCAGCAATTCCTATATATAATAAACAGATACGAAAGAGATTGTTCGATCCATTCTCTCTTTTAGAGATTAAGCATCATAACTAGGAGATGCTAACCTAACCTTTGCTTAACGTAATTATTGTCATTGCCCATATATATATATAAAATGATTATAATAAGGGTTTAATTCATTTAGACCCCCTGTAGTTTGTCAATACTTCAAGGAGACCCCCACATTTATAAATCTTCAATCAAACCCCCTGTCAGACATTGTCGACTAACAATGTTAGAGGAAGGAATGAAATGGCTATTTTACCCTTGTTTATAAATTAATATTTTATTAACAAAATACCCTCTTATATCTATATATATATATACTTTCTCTATCCTAAATTAAACGTTGTCTTTGAGAACTGTGACTCACAAGTCACATTGAAGCTGTGCATGTCACAGTTCCCAAAGACAACGTTTAATTTGGTACAAAAGGAGTATATTAATTACGCTTCTTCTTCCATACTGCCGGTAGAACCTATTGAAGCTGTGGATGCTTTGTTTTCTACGTCTTCACTCGATCCTGTCTTGGGTGAGTAAAAGAGTAACCTCCATGGCCGTAGACGAATCGTCGTCGTCCTCCCTAAATCATTGGGTTGCTAAGCACATCAATACTACGGCGACCTAATGGTGGCCATTAAAGAATCGACATGGGTCACTATATAGGCAACCCAATTTTGCCATAACAAAACCATGCTTGGGTTGCCGGGAAAATGAAGAACCAGGTCGCCTCACATGGGTCGCTATATAGGCGACCTAGTGATCGGAGTGTAGCAACAACCATATAAGTCGTTACAAGTTGATTCGGGCAAGGGCTTGGGTCACTAACAGTGACCCAAAGGCTTGAGAGAGGCCGGTCGCCATCAAGAATGGATTCTAGGTCGCTGCCGGCGACCTGGGTGAAGGAGAAGAAGGCAGCTACTACAACGACCTAATTGTGGTTGTTAAAGAATCAACATGGGTCTCCATATAGGCGACCCACTTTTGCCGTAACGTAACTACGCTTGGGTCGCCGGAAAAATGAAGACCCAGAGACTTGAGAGAGGACGTGACCATTGGGTCGCGGGTGAAGAAGGCAGCAAGTCGGCAACCTGGGTGAAGAAGAAGAAGGCGGTCGTTGCCAACATTAAGTAGAATAACATGTCGCTGCTATAAGCAGAGACTACGTTAGTCCGATGATTACGCTAGTAATGAAGGCACTGATAGTCACTAGTTTGGTCGCTGCCGGTTAGTGTAGTCTTCGCCGACAGCAAGGAAGAAGAAGATAACTATGATGGAGAACATGAGAAGTGACTCACCATTGTGCGCAGTTTCAATGCTCATCAGAACTCATTGTTGTTCACCATTCCGAAGCTCACTGAAACTGTAACTAAGCTCAATTGGCTTTCTCTCAAATAATCAATGTTGGGTCTTCAATCATGTTAAGATTCAGTACATATAGCCAAGCTTAAAATGCTTTCTTTATATTGTTCACCAATGTTTTTCCGGTGCAAGTCACTGAAGCTTTTCCATTGGGTCATGATAACCGGTGATGATATATCAAATAAACTCACGGCGTCATTTTTATGAGATTGGGTAGTTGAAGGAGAAGCTATCGGTGGACTACCATGGCGCCGAAATCGGTTGCAGCTATCACTGTTGATCATGCAAAACTGTTAGGGTTCGTATGGAATACTGTTATGGACTATCGAACTGATATGGGTTTCTTGGAACTCACCGGAACTGAAGTGGGTTTAGGATTATAAGTGAAGGTTATAACTGTCTTTTTACTTTTGTAAGGGTAAATTGGGCATTTTTAGTAAATTTTTTCATGACATCAGCAAAAAATGTCTTTGACCATATTTGACCTTTACATGAGAGGAGATTGATGTGTGTCAAAAAAAAGTAGGAGTGTTACTGAATTTTTGCAAATGTAAAGGGTCTCTTTGAAGTATTGACAAACTACAGGCAGGAACGGAGTTAGAAAATTGTACAAGGGGGTAGTAATTTTAGTGGGGGCAGTAGTGTAATTTTATAAATATACATATCAAAATAACTAAAATAGTAGGATTTATTACTAAAAAAAGAAAATTTCAGTGGGGGCAATTGCCCCCACTGACTTATACATACCTCCGTCCCTACAGGGGTCTAAATGAATTATAATAAATAGCTTGGAGAGCATTTGAACCAGAGTGACCTTTTTTTTTGTTAAAAGAACCAGAGTGACCTTGATTGAAACAATGGAAAGAGAATATATAGCGAGGTGACGTCAGGAAGCATAAAGCATATATATGAAGATGAAAAAAGACGTATATTAACGGAGATGCAAAATAGATAGAAACATAACATCAGCATACATAATTCATGTGTTGTTCACAACTCTTGATAGATACATAATAGGAAAAGTACTTACTTAAGAGTACTGGTGGGAGAAGATGAAAAATGTGGAACCTTGGATGATACTCAAGTGCGTGAAGTGCGTGCTTGCGTGTCCCCTCACTAATTGTTTGTACGGCAATTCGTGATGTTTTGTTACATAGTGAATGCGAAGTGTGTGCTTGTCCCTTTACTAATTATGCAGGGAATCTGCGAGTGTGTTTTTTGGTTGCCCTCACTTTACCTGCAATATATATTATACAATATATACACTCGATCAACTAACCCCCTTTCATTATACAAGCATCTTATAACACCACTAAAAACCTAAAAACTGAGTGCATTCTTACTGTAGCCTTAGATATGCACTCAACCATATGGAAATGTATGCAATTAAGTTTTTAAATATATGCCAATGCGACAATATATATAATTACATAATTATATTGAATTCGCTTCTACTAGCTCTAGATGCAATCATACAACAGTGGAGATTGAGAATAACAATCATTCTCTCTCTCACACACACTCAAACTCAAACAAAAGTTAATTAGTTGACTTTTTTAATCGTACTTTTCCTAGAAGAGTATGCAGTTTCTCCCAATGACGATATTTTTCACTTCCTCTCCTCTCTCGCACAAAGCAGCAAGTTAGTTAAATAAGTTTATTTTTTAATGGGCAACCCATAATTAATTTTCTAGTTTCTAGAAAGGAGCACACTTTAATTAGCACTAAGGCAAATATTATAGCCCTAAAATTAAAAGTAGAGCTTCACAACGGATCAAAGTTGCTTCAGCTTAAGTTCCTTCTCCCTCTCTTGTAAATACACACGAACCATCTCTCCATCTCTCAAACTCACACACACGCACACAACTCCTCAGCCTTCATTGACATAAATCCCTTCCTCCACCTGGCCGGAAGCCTTCTCTCTCCAACACGAACAGAAAGTAAAAGAAGAGAGGGAGGAGAGAAAAAGTAGAGCCAGATAGAACAAAGAAAATGAGAACTGGGGATACCTTAAGTGCTACATCAATGATGATGAAGACAACGACAACAAAATCAATATTTTCACCACAGGCGGCAACTGTACAACACTGCTCACCATGGCACTCTCCGGTGCCCTATCTGTTGGGTGGTCTGGCAGCAATGCTGGGTTTGATAATATTGGCACTTGTGATCCTGGCATGCTCTTATTGGAAACATTCTGTTGGACGCTCATCGGATAACGCTCGGGAAGGTGGTGGTCAGAGAGATCTGGAGTTTGGTGATGACAAACCTGGAAACACACTAGTCAAGGCTAAGCTGGTTTTTGAAGAGAAGATTGTAGTGATAATGGCTGGAGATTTGAGGCCATCTTTCTTGGCGACACCCATGTCCAGCAGAGCTTCTTCATTTGGTGACGTTGATGCCAAAACTGAGAACAAGGAGAAAGCTGAATTAATTGCTGAGAGACCAAAACAAGAGACGGGTACTGATGAAAACAATCAGACTACTATTATTACAACAACAGACAGAAACTAGAGAAACCCAATAGAAGTAAGAAGACTAAGAGCAAACTTAACCAGTGAGCTGCAGTTATATATTAATCCACCCAAGTGAGAGTTTTAGTTCCTTCTTACATTTGGTCTTCTCTATTTTGGTTAGGGTCCCGGAAATGTAAATTTTGCTGAGATGAAATAGAAGAAAGAGTCAGTTTTCCTCTTTCTAACAATTTAACCCAATCCTTCTTTTATTTAAGTAATACGATATAGTAGTAACTATGCATTTACTCTGTTCTTGTCCTTGTATATAATGTTGGGCAACCAGCTTTTTCTCCTCTTTTTCTCAATCTAAAGCCAAGAAATTATGAACATTATTATTCGTTTGCATGAAGTTCTCGACGTATGCAAAGACAATTGCACAAAAATCAGATTCCAGTTTGATAATCATCAAAGTCCCATTATTCTTTTTTAAATTCTCGCAAACCTTTAAAAAGAAAGAAGGAAACAAAAACAAAAACAAAAAAAAAAAAAGTTGAAAATCTTAAACCCTTTTATACAAAAATCTGATTGTTAAATACAAATCATCAAGTTGAACTAAGCAATCCTAGCTTTAGCTTTTCCTTTTGCATATTCCTAGTTATTGATAGGAAAGATTTTCACACCTCTGCCTACAACCATATCAAGAACTATTGAACCACACAAAATCTCAAAGATACAATGTACATTCCATTGAAGTGTTCTGCACTTCTGCTCGTGATGACAACCCGTGGACTGGCGGTGATGTATGAGGAGTGGGTTGCTTACTGTGAGAAAGGAAAAAGGCGCTAATGAGAAGAGGTAAATTGATATGAAGAGCAGCGGCTGGGCACACATATTAAGTTGTGACTAGTAGTAACATTGTACTCTTAACTCTTCATGGTGGACTAATTGATTAAACGCGGTCACTAGTTTTTTTTTTCCCATTGGCGGTTCTCCACCTAAAAATCTTAGTCTTTGTTTTTTGTTTGCATGTATGAATGATTTTAACATGATGAATGCAAGTTTAAACCTAACTATAAACATTATCCTAAAATTTGGGTTAGGGCCTATGTACACCCTTTAAGTGATGTTCCATAACCATAAACTGTTGCACACAGTCCCTCGCAGGAATCTGATAAAATACAACCAAATTTATACCAATACAACAGTATTTTATAGTACAAAGATTGACTATTCTAGTTACAAGTTGAAAACTAGAAATAAATGTGCATTGGTCCAGAATGAGCGACATAATCATGTTGGACATGACACTACGTGGAAATATGGATATCAGGTTATTTTTGACACTCCCGACAAGTGTACAAAGGAAAAGAGCAGCAAATTCCAATTTCTCTGAATGCTCTCTGTGGAGGGAAATTTCCCCACCAACCGCAAAGCTCCACGTGTTTATCCCTGATTAAAAAGGCCGCCGGCCAAAAGACTCAAGTTGGAAAGTAAAAACCCCAACTTCTAAATCGGCCAAAAGGTCAAAAGGAAACTCCATACTCCAAAAAGGCCCAGAAGTAATTGTATAGCCCATATGGCCCAATATGAAACCTTGACCAACACGAAGAAGAGTAATGCACGAACAAAGAAAAAGGCAAGAGATCAGGAAACTGTATGTCAATTCAGAAAGGAAAGCCCTGAAGAGGCTCCTGACTGTTACAATATACAAATATAAATAAGGGCAAAAGACCCAAATGAAAGATAAGTTGTTCTCGGCCATTTTACTCTGCCTCTTTCTTTTGAATATTTTTTATTAATGAGCGGCTTTTCATTCTACTTGATTGACTGTTCGAGCATTGGAATTTTAGAATGAACTTCAGTGTTTAGTCCAAGATTTTATGCACCTACACTTTGGCGCCGTCTATGGGAAAGCTACGAAAAGCCTCTCACCAACATTCTGAATTTTTGATACATGCGACATCGTTCCGAGATGGCAACGGGACCAAAAGCCATTCAGATGCAGCAACTAGAAATCATGCAGAAGACGTGTGAAGAGATGCGGGAGCAGTTCAATATCATGCATGAAGCTAATGAGGCAAGTGTCGAACAAATCAACGCCATAAGACAGGCCAGCGAAACAAGCATGGCGCAAATCAATTCCCTGCAGCAGGAGAACGAAGAGCTTAGGGCCACTGTCCAGCAAGCCAACGTGCCTCCACCTCCACCAGCGGGAGTATGGCTGGCTCCCTTGGGTCCTCAACGAGCAGCAAGACGAACAGCTGAATCAACAGCCCGCGCCGAGGTTCCAAGGAGTCAACAACCCTCTTCAGCAGCCGAGGGCCCATCGGCAGCCACCAAACCACAACGAACAGTACGCAATTCCAGAACAAGATGCTGATGATGCAGAGGTCATAGCCAACCAATCCCACGTAGCAACAGGTTCTACATTAGAAGGGTTACGTCAGACTCGAACCCAGATCCTTGAGGATCACGCCAAGTCAAGCAGGCGTAATACATGGGTCCCAAACAAGCACAATCAGAACTTACCATGCAGTGACACCCTAGGACACTTTCGAAAAGAAGTAAATGAGCTGATTAAGGTGCTGAAGGCCCAGACGCCTGAAGACATGGCAAGGGAATTCACCGCCTCGATAACTAAAACCCCTTTCACTGACGAGATAGAGCGGGTCGAAAGACCTAAAAAGTTCACTATGTCAAAGTTTGTCAAGTTCGATGGAACCGGAGATCCCCTGCAACATTTGGACCACTACAACCAAGAAATGACTTTAGAGGCACGCAATGGTCTGTTCATGTGTAAAATATTCCCATCCAGCTTGACAGGAGTAGCCCTAGAATGGTTCACAAGTCAATTCCAAATTTCAAGACACTGTGCACAGCGTTCTTAACTCAACACTGTGTCAACAAGAAGCAGAAGAAGACCATCTCCAGCCTGTTCACTATGCGGCACATGAAGGGGAGAAACTCTAAACCTTCCTCACTAGGTTCAACATGGGCTCCTCTGGCATTCCAGATTGCAACCAGGCTAGAGCTGTAGAAGCGTTCAAAATAGCCATGATCCAAGGCATGTAATACCCCTATATTTTAAAGGCTTATCTGATTTAATTTAATTGCATTCTTTATCTTGTTTGCTTATTTGATTTAATTGGTTGATTTAACTTGTTTTATTATTCGTTTAATTTAAATGTTTTATTTAAGTTATTCAATTGTTTGAGGTGTAATTACTTAATTTATTTAAATATTTGTTTTATTTTAATTTAGTATCGATTGGGCTTAGAGTTAGTAGAACCCAAAGTAATGGGTTTGGGCTAGTTGAAGGAGGCCTAGGTGTGTTAAGAAGGATTTGGGCCATGTGGACTGTGTTAGTTATATATATATATATATATATAGAGAGAGAGAGAGAGAGAGATTAATTCTTATGATCTATATATATATTATTTAATTATTGTTTTATTTAAATTAAATTATCATAAATGTCATGTTGGAAATTGTCTCAAATTCCTATTCTACTTGGGATTCTATTTAGAGTTGTATTCTGTTAGGTAATTTCTTGTTTGTCAAGTCTTGGCCTCTAAGAAATTATAATCCTTATCCAATAAGGAATTGGGTTTGGAACTCTATAAATAGATACATAGGCTTTGGGTTCAGATTTATTAGAATGAGAGATGTAATCTTATGAGGGAGTTGATGGGTAGAGGTAGTTTATGGGTTAGTAGAGTAGGAAAACACCGACGACACTGATAGTAAGGGATTGGGCTCGTGGAGTGGTACATAGTAAAAAGACATGTACGTAGTGTTGGTACTCTATTGTTGTAATATATTTACAAATCATAGTGGAATCTCTTCTCATCCATGGAAGTAGGCCGGTTTTGGTTGAACCGTGTATATCTTGTGTTTTTGTGTGATTGCTTTGTTGCCTTTCATTGAATCTTTCTTATTTGCGCACTTCCGCTGCCCAACAAATTGGTATCAGAGCCAAAGGCGAAGGAGATCAAGAAAACACAAGAAGTCTCAACATGTGTTGCAACAGGCTTTAATTGTAGGTGAAGTCAATCGGTTTGGTTACATAGTATGGAGCTCGAATGGTCAAGGTGGAGCCTTAGAGGTTTGACTGATCGAGCAACATATAGTGTGGACAATCGGAGTTTTGCAATAGTATCGTCAAGATTGAAGCTGCCAAAGAATTGTCCTGATCAATGTCGTGGAAGCGATGATTGGCTGGATGGAATTTAAGCCAAGGTGGAGATCGTTGGAAATTGTGTCTCAAATTCCTATTCTAATTAGGATTCTATTT